GTAAACTAAAAAAAAGTATATCGAAAAAAAAACTCTAATCAAAAATAGCTATACATAAATATTTGCAGAAAGACATTTCGATATGAGTAAGTGACTGTCAGCAAACGAAAATATAGTGTTGCACCATGATGGCAACTTATCCATAATATTTATACATTTTCACTTAAAAAGCCATTTCGAGTGTGGATCGGATGTGATTTGCATATCGTAATGTTTGCCATAGCATATTACAAAACGGTGCTCACATTTCAGGTGCTCAATGGCATTGCCCATAATCGGTATGTGCTTTCGCACTCAAAAACATAATATTTTTCATAACATTTTTGTTGTCGGTGGGGTTTTTTTTTTCTTCTGCCGGTGTCGGGTTCAAACTAGTGTCGACAATAATAATTCAGGGCACACAATGCATACCACAGAATACACACACACACACAACGTTTAGAGCAGTAACACCGAGGACACATGGCGGAAAAGTTAACGAAACCTTTAAAACGTTGTATAGCACGATGTCATTCGTTTTCCTTCCTACTGCCAGTGTATGCCTGATCCCTTGCCAACGACGAAAAATTTACGAATATTAACGCCGTGCGATGAGTTTATTTTTTTGCCACCGTCGAACCTTTTTTTTGGCATCGTGTAGGGTGAAATCTCTAAAATGCTATCACGGTAAGATGTGTCACAATCGCAATGATTTATTTGCGTAAATAGCATTTTTGTGCGCTATTTTTGGGTGAAAATATTTTATATATTATATTTGCCTGTGCATACTAAGCTTAAATAGTATCTGTCGACGTTCCGGTTGCTCCGGCTTTCGGGAACACATACACATATACACAATCGCACTTTGTAACCGTAGTCAAAACCTACAATGTCACAAATGCAAAAATAACAATAAATGCGGAAAAATAAATATTCAAAATGTACAAATAACATCATCACAAGTCGGGCACCACTTGAGATCTACGTCGGAATTGTCAAATTATATATATACAAAAATCCGTAAATCATTTGAGATGACTCGTCTCATACTCCCGGGCAATTTAAGTAAAAGTCAAACATTTTTAAGCAAAAAGGAAATGATAAATTTTATTTACAAAATGATCGCACATTTACAAAATTATTTCCATAATCTGTTGTTTGTGGGGAGGATGATGGGGAAATTACTTCAAAGCTTATTGTTTACATGTTAAATACTATTGTTGTCTCCACATATATTTTGTAAAGGTTTTTTTTACGCTTTAATGTTTTAAAGTCACACTTGATTATTTTTGAGTCTCAAGTGCAAATTCAACAAATTATTCGCAATTTTTCGCTATATTTCCTCAAATCCATCATCAATGTCTGAAATAACAACTCAAATCAATATAAAAGTATCCAATCTACGCTTAATTGGAAGCATGCTTTGATATGCTTGAAGCATCTATATATCTTTTTTAGTAATGGCGACCGTTTTTTTGTTCATTTCTTGCCATTCTAGTTGCCATTTGTTCAAATCATCTTTAAAAGATCTATTCTTTCGGTTCGTCTACGCCATGACATTGATTTATTTGACAAAACTATTTATATATTTTTTTGTTGGGCCTGACGTATGTCTGTTCAATTTTCGTTTTCATTCATGCTCAATTTATGTTCGACACAAAAAACCGAAATGATGCTTATGAAAATGTGTCAGCAGCTCAAACTGTTTCAAGTGAATTCACGAACGAGAGTTTGATGTTCGCGATAATACGCACATACATGTAATCGATTATAGTTTCGTTGCGTTTTTTCTTTCATTCAATTCCAAAATGTTGACATCGTTTAAATGAGTTTCCTTCAATATCGCACGTACAAATCAGAGAATGAATAGTCTTATGCCATCGAATCGAATGTAAAATAAATCGATCGTAGTAGACTAGCATTTCCATCGGTGATGGATACCTTCGGCAATGAACTTTGAACGGAGCCCCGGAAAAAAATGTGATATTGCACGTTTTTCGACAAGACGTTTGAATTTATCGCAAGAAATAATTCAACAATAGCATTCTTCCTGTATGAGTGCGAATGAACTCCGGTTTACTGGGTATTGAATTTTCAAGTAGGTAGATTTCAATGTGCTGACAAATGAATAATCGGCAACCGATTGTTGATAAGCATAATTTATGCTTTATTCGGCAATCATTTATACTTGACGGCGCAAAACATGCAAAACAAGAATGATGATGATGATGACGGCGAACCACATCCCACAACATTTTTTTTTCTTGTTCAATATGTGGGAGATTTTGGAAAGAAACATCGTTTTCTTTCAATTAAAACTTCTTCGATTTTTGAATTTGCCAAATGTTTTGGACTTGGTGCTCGAAACGCAATTAAATAGGCTTAAAAGGATGTCAACAGTGCGTCAAAGTTTCGGTCATTCCATTCATTAAGCGTGTTGTACGGATGTCACTCGAAACTGAATGAAAAGTCATCGATGCATCCATTGAAGAGCATTTGCCCTTTCTCTTTCTGTCTCTGCGTGGACGCCGTTCAATGAAAGTTCGAACTAGATAAAAGTGATGGTGGCGTGTGTTTTGCTATGTGAAAAAGATGAACTAGTGATGCGAAAACATGTTCAAGCAACAAGAATCGATATGGTCTCGCTGAGACCAACCGTCCAACCAAAAAGCAACGCGACATTGAATCAAAAAAGCAGCAAGTAAATGACACGAACATTATTTGCACTTCCATAAAATGCACATCATACGAAAAACTATGCGGATTTATTTGCGCTGTATGTGCGCGCTCATCGAACCATTTATTTAAGCGGACATGGAAAAATTCGACGACGGGAGCAAAAACGAGTGAAATGAGCAAAATATGTTGTCCTGCGGAACGCACATCAAATGTATAAAAACCAACTGAAACGAATGGGAAAACAGACGAACGCTCGTTCGAGGCTATCGGAAATTTACACATGATTAAATTTCAACGTCAATTTTCTCAAGTCCATGAATTTTTGCCATGAATTTCGATGCGATTGTGTGTGTTTTTTCGCTGCTATAGTTTTTGTAAGCGATGGTATTCGGTAGCTGTGCTATGGTTGGTTGGCAAAATGCTGTGATTCAATCGGAAAAGTTATAGTTAACACGTATTTCGAGAGTACACACCAAATCGCACGCAATTTTTCTCTGTTCGTTGGTATCAACGCTGTAGTCGCCGGTCTTGCTCTCTCTCTCTCCCGATATCTCGCTGTTCATTGAACAGTACCGTGAAAAATTCGACGGCTAAAACACAAATCGAAAATCCGGATTCCGCATACAGACACGATAGTAGCTCTGCTTTCGCTTGGATTGGCGGCATTTTTCGATATTTATATGAAAAGGGTGAACATTTTCATTTCAATCACTGTGATTTCAGGACTTTGTGCGATTCCATTTACTGATGCGCGTACATACAACGCACACACATTTTTTTTTCAACCATTCCATTTCAATGAACTGCATATGCCGTGTGCAATCTCAATGCGCTATGTGACCGCGGTGGCTTTTTGATCAAATCATCCACAGACTCTATCTCTTCACCACCATGTACATTATATGGAAATCACTCTATTTGCCGCTTGGAACTCGTAGTTTTTTTTTTTCTCTCGATTCTCATGCAACAGTATAACATCAATATTCATTGAAAATGTCTTTTTTCGCCCCATATCGAATTCTAGGGTCATTCGAACCATTTGTCGATAGTAATGCAATAAATATAAAATATTTCACCAATTCACATCGAAAAAAGGAAATTCTCAATCATTTACTCAACATTGCATTTTATATATCTCTTTTTTTTTTTCAATATTTGACTACAAATGTAATATTTTCTGCCTTTTTTCGACTTTTGTTTGTTTTCGTTGGTTTTATTTTGCCTCTTGTTCTTTGCTTGTCATTCGATTTAAAAAGAAGTTTAATATGAATGACCTGCAAAAATTAAACAAGTATCCAGTAGCCAAAACTATTAATTCTTTCTCTTTTTTTCTAACTCTACTAAAACGGTAGCCGGTAGAAACGTTTTTTTTTTAAATATAAAAAGGTCGCATCATTTTTTTCAAATAGAAAACAATTTTCGGATTAAGTCAATTCTCATATTCTATGTCTCTTCTTTGAGCCGTTTTAGCCTGGAGTTTGTTTGTTTACCTGCTGCCTGGGCGGTTAACGTTTGCGCAAAAAGTCTCGAATTTAATTAAAAATTACATATTTCATATCTTCCAATTTCTTTCGGAATTTTCTTGATCTGACAGTCGAAATTACCCGTTTCAAAATTGATAGTACAAATGAAATGGGCCGCTTTTTAAATTGAAATGTTGCTACTGTTTTCTAAATTGCATGTAATTATGTAATTTCACGAAAGAAAAATCACAAAATATAGACCTGCTGATTATAATCTGTTTCTTTCTGTCGAAATTTGAAGTACAATTTGGTTGATTTCAAATATAGACCATATTGTCATTAATAGCAGTGAGGACACTCCACGATATATGCTGAACTCAAACTGTAATTAGGACGAGACGTCTGCAGGAAAATAGACTATTATTTTCGTCGATGAAATTTGATTTATTTTAACTGTGTGTGTGTGTCTGTGCATCGTTTCCATCGATGTTTTCAGTAAACTTACATACAAAAAATATGTAAAATGTATGGGGCAGCTTGTACTCGTAAACACAAGAGAGAAAAAGTATCCAAGCAGCATATTTGTAGCTATTGAACGATCGTTTGTAATGTATCTAATAGACTGTGGTTTGTCATATAATTTTGAAGTTGGTTTCATTTATTTATTTATTTTCAATTTCAAATGAATTTGTTGTAGAAACTACGATATATCGTTTGGACTCTTTTAATAAAGAAGAGCAAAAGGAATCGATTTGACACAATCGAAAATGACAAATAAAGTGAAAAAATTATGAACGATTTTTCATTTTGGTTGAATCATCGGAACAATTTCTGGAATTTATTAAATATTTACATAATAACCGAAGTGACTACATTAAAAAGAAATAGAAATCAACTCCGACAATAATTTCGAGAAATTATTCAACTGCACTCCCCACGCTATTTTCATTTTCTGCCAAGAGATTCATTGAGAGCAGTTACAAAGTCGATCGTTTTCAGGCATTTTGCTTCTGCCTCGGTCTTAATCTTTGAAATCAGTTGCTTGTTTCTTCAACGCTTTCCACTTTATTCTAGATCTTGCGGATCCGAACCGCTGCACTTCATTCAGAATCATATAAAAAATACTGTTGTCATCGGCAAGCTGGATAACCTTATTTTGCACCTCCTTCATATATACTTCAATACGGAATATCATCATAACTTTTCCCTTCCATGTGTTTGCTGTTCTTCGAAATACATGAATTTTCTTCGCATCTTTCGATATTTGTAAATATTCTGCGTACACCGGTTCAAAGAGTTGACAGCATGCGATATAATTGTCTCGTAGTTGCTTTAAATGTTTTACAACCTCATGGAAGGTTGAAATAAAATCGCCTTGTATAATTAACAAAACTGGGTTGTTCGCATTTTCATTGATTGCGGTTTGAATAGTGTGGTCTAGTTCACTCATTATACGATCGATGGTTTGCATTTCTTCGTTGAATTGCGGAAACATTTCTGACTCAACACCAAACACCGAATGAATCTATTTTATTGAACAATATATTATACCTTTTCAAGCTGTTTAGATACAATAATTTTCTGAATTTTCAAAACAAAATGATATGAGATGTAACAAAATGCCAAATATAACAACTTACACCATTTATAAAAATGGCAAATAAAAGAGGTACTGCAATCAAATCGGTCATTTTGTTCAAATTTCCACAAAATACTGTTTGATGTACTTGTCGAATTATATTTTTATAGGCTTGAAAGAGGTGCCACCGATATTAAAAAAATAACACTTATGCATGGAAATTTTTTCATTGCATTGTTTGTTTAAGGACAAATTATTCATGTCATTTGACTTTCGAATATTTGAACAATGTATTTTTCATTTGAAAGGAATGGAAGTGAATGAATATAAAAACAGATATATCAAGGGGTAGAAATTAGACGAGATTTGTTTTTGAGCTTTATATCGTTATTATGATTGAAATTGACTGAATTACTAATCAATAGTACTACCCATCTTGTAATTGAAATGTAAAAATACCAACTATCTTGTTGTTAGTTTAACTTTATCTCAAAAGTGTAGCTAAAGAAATTGATCATTTTTCATATAGAAAAGTAACGATATTTCAGATTGCAATTCTGGCAAATTTTTCTATTACTACTTCTATTTGTTAGAAATATACATATTAAACCCATTTTAGATCAGTGTGACGCACAATTGGCTCAAAATGTCAGTTTTAGTAGCATTTTATGTAGAATTGGTCATTTTCATATGGAAAAGTAACGATACTTCATAAATCGATTCTGACGAATTATTCAATTGGGCTCATATATTAAGTTTTATTTTGTAGATTTCTTTTTTAAATGTTGTTAAGCAGTTTATTGGCGAATGACTTTATTTAAATATGTAATAACATTTGAATGAATGTTTTATTTATTATAGCCATTTTAGACACTTCTGTTCCTGTTCTTCGCAATCCATTCAGCATGTATATAAATAGGTGTATAGAACGACATATCTCCGTGCCTTGTTGTACAGAGCTAAATGATAGAGGAAACTATAAATATCTCAAACAAATTGGAAATATCAAGAAAATAATATCTTAAATATTTACTCTGAATGTCCATAATGTTCCAATGCCAGCTAATACAGTTCCATTCGGATGAACCAATGGCGTACCTTTATTTCAGTAGATAAATATTCGAATTGATTTTGAATTTTGTCGAAGTAGAAAGAAAATGGAAGTATAAAATTACAGTTGCGCAAAGAGAAATACACAAAAATTAATCCTACCCATATCAGAGATGCAAGCACGGTTAACATTATCATGTGGTCTGATTAAATCAACTCCCCAAACTACTGCATATACCAAGGTTTCTCCAAAATGTAACTTCTCATGATGTGTTATATCGTGCTACAATACATAAAATATTATAAACAATGTAGAGTTCATAAGTCGTGCAGCATAAGTGTAAAATTATTAGTTTTGTTTAAAAGATACTATTTCAAATGAAATGGTTACTTCTAATCCACTGCCCCAACCAGCTATAATCATCTTATTTTGTCTTCCATGCATTTTTTCTTGTGGTAATTCAATGCTTTGAACGGTTTTCGATAAAATAATTTTTGACATAAATAAAATACCAATATCCTCAATGCTATTGGAATGCCTCTCGAAGTTAATTGCATCCATTTCAACATAAGTTTCATGCCACACGGTGTCTTTGATTTCCACTTTTTTGCCACCATAATTTACATTCACTCGTCCCACGTACACTTCACATTTGTACGTAGCTTTACATGCTGCGGCACAAACTGCATTCGTTAATATTTCGGTTTCCGAGATGATGGCACCCGCACAAAGTGGCTCGAATACACCGGTATGCGGATTCAGGACCTTCACTAACGCGATATAAGGAATTCTACCTTCTCCAGCTTCTTTAATTTTTCCGTCCCCAGCCGCAATTATTGCCAAAACCAATGTCGTCGAACATATCAATAAAAATATCACGGCTATTTTCTTATTTTAAACCAATTTTTCGTTGCTTTTTTCAATGGGATTCGTCTTCGTTCTTCTTTCTTTCAATTATAATTTTTTTTTGTCAGATTTTTACAAGTGAACTGTGTTTTAAGAGTCACAAAATTCGAATGTCTGCTTCTGATTTTTTGATTAATTTCAATGCCTACGATTTCAATAATCGTGACAAATATATTGTCTTTGACAGTGTATCTGTATCTATAAGAAATACTGTTTTCACCACCATAACTCTTTCCCACGAGACGTAATTCAAAATCTACATGAATTGGTACCATGAGGAGCACTGATCAAATTTTCAGCGATATTGGTTGATCGGTGTAAAGTGGGGGAGGAAGGAGACTTCTTCCAAGAAAAGTGCCATTAAATAGAAAATATAACACAACTTTTCACTATCTAACCATACTAACCAGCGATACTATTTTTTTCCCTTGACTAATAATTGAATTCCAAACGTTTTCAAGTCTTCTGCATGATCAATTCAGTTTCAAATGCTTCATTTTTTGCTGCATTCCAAGCATTTATATTTGATTCCAAAGTTCCATGCTCTATCGCTTCGTTTAGAGTTGACAAGAAAACACTATTCTTATCTGCAAGATGATTTTCCTTCACTTATTTCATATATATTAAATATATAAAAATCAGGAGATGCGTGCAGTCAATAAGAATGTATTGTGACGTCTCATATCTTAAGCAAAAACGCCATCTCTGTAAAGCAGGTTAACTACAATTTTTACTATTATTATAGTAAGCGTGTTTTATGTACAATACATAGATGGTGTTATATGTGTCTGTTCAAATTGCGCTTGCCCTTTGATAAAAATTTTCATGAATGATTGTATATATGATGAACGATGATAACAGCACTATTTGTAAATTCAACCTACGCCATTTGCTATAACGGTAACCAAAATGAAGAATTGAGTTGAAGCTTTCATCTTGTCAAACTTGGTTTGATGCAGTTGAAATTGTATTTCTCTCTCGCCTAATATATTTTAAGATCATTCATGTAACATGAGAAACAGACTTACGGGATATAATACACACAGTCTTCAGCTTGTGGAAAATAACTTCAATATACGTTCAAAAGAAATATTTATCGTAATAATTTATATTGAGGCCCTAATTATTTTTTTAAAGAGATAAACAAGTTGGAATTTACGAAAAATAATCGATTATTATGTCGTTCTAAATGTCATTGCCCTTGTGTCACCTTCAAGCCTTTTCTGTTTAGAAAAATAACTTTTAAAACGTATAAAATTTCCTTAACAAGTATCTACTGTAGATTATGATAGTTAAAACAGAAATTGTATTGATCATACTTTGGAAACATTATAATTTGCTTTTGTTCTTTTTAACTTTTTGGAAATACTCTGCATATATCGGCTCAAAACGTTGGCAACATGACAAATACTCTGAATACAAATTGTAAAGATTATCTAACTGAATGTTATTGTTAATGCGCCTTCAAAAATTTGTTGCCGGGATGCTGAACAACTGCTGCTTGAAGGTCATCGTTGAGTTTGGTCTTTTTATCTTTGATGTATTTTAGGCCTTCGTCGAGTTTCTTGGAAAACATCGTTCCATAGTGGTAGCATTGTGAATATTTATCATTAATATTTGATGATATAAAAATGAAATTTTGAGTTACGCCATTTGTGAAAATGACAACCAAAAATATGACTAGCGTTAGTTGAATCATTTTGTTGATAATGCTGCCGAATACTGAAGCCATTTATATGCTTTAAGAAACGCATGTATTGCGTATCGGTTTAAAGATAGTAGATTGTACAAAGTCGTCTGTATTTTTCCATTCAAAGAATCGTATAGTATTTGGCACATTTCTTACATTTTTCTTTTCAAGTAATGAAGTAATTAATATTTTACAGAATACAAAAATATTGATTATGGAAATCAAAGATCGAATTTTATTATCGAATGATATTTATTTATTATTTATATTCCTATTGCTTTACGATTTTCAAGAAAGTGTATGCAAGGGTTGAAGCTAATGGTTTTTTCGGTGTAAATTTCACTATATTTGTGAGTAGCTCGTCGGCTTGATCTTCTACACTTTCCCAAGCTTCGATATTTGTGTCAACAGTGTTATCCTCTATGGCTTCTTTTATGATCGAAAAGTACACGCTATTTTCGTTTGAGAGTTGTTCCAGTTTGTTCTTCGCGAGATGCATGTACGATTCAATCATGAAGTTCATCAAAACTTTCCCTTCCCAGTTCTTGATAAACTCATTAAAATGATATATTTTATTTTGATCGTGTGTATTAGCCACCTTCCGCAAATATTTTATATACTGCTCATCAAAATTCTGACAACACAACGTATATGATCGGTGCAAATCTTCCAATTCATCAAGGACAGAATGAATATATTCAATAAAACTCTCTTTTAATGATATCAAAAATCCATTCCCAGCATGTGAATCGATTGCATTTTGAAGAGTATTGTCTAGTTTAATTTTTTTATCTTCAATGGAATTCAGTTCGTTGACCAATTTCTTCCGAAACATTGTTGAATTATTACCAAACACAGATTGTATCTTTATTGCAAAAAATTATTTTTCAAGGCATCTTTTAGCGTTTTCATTAAATATTTGACTTATATTTGAAATTGAATTCCACTTACGCTGTTTGTAAAAAAATAAAACTAAGGATTTCATCTTGTGTAAAATGTGGTATAACACTACCTTCACATTTTTATGACTATCTTTTATATTTCTTTGAATAGTACGTAAAATTCAACATACATGTGCACAGTTACTACGTGAAAACACCATGTCAGATATTGTTCAAATGATCGATATTCAATAATCTTGAAAATGTTTTTTTATTGTTTTAGTAAAAGGTGTATTTTTTACTCATAGAAAATGAAAAAAAAAAACCAAACAAGAGTTCGAATGTAATCAAGCTGAACATTGGGAATGATAATAATGAAAAACATTCAACCCGGTTGGGTTTAGTGGGCTTTAGATTTTGTCTAAGTTAATACATAAACGATTGGTTTAAATTTGAATTTATCATTTATTAATTGAGAAAAATATATGTAAGAGCAAGAATACATTTGCTAAACTTCATTTGATTTTGTTTAAATCATTGAATAGAAAAGTATACAATATAGAAAATTGGAAACGATAACTAAATATTTGTCGCTTTTCGTATTCTTGAAATCCCGCAGGAAGATCTTTAATTTAAACTTCATGAAATCAAATGCTTAAAATAAACCAAGAGTATTTAACTTGTTTGTAAACTCTCCAGCGATTACTGAGCAATCTTGGTGTGGCACATAAACCAACATATTCATAACAAGTTGATCGGCTTCGTATGTTGTGGCCTTCCAAACTTGCATATTTTTTTCGAACGTTCCGTACTCTATGGCTTCATTTAAATACGAATATAGAACGTTTTTTTCATCTGATAGTTGATCCAACTTTTTTTTTATCGTTTTAATGTAAGATTTAATCATAAAATTGGCAAAAACTTTGTTTTGCCATTCTTTGATTATACGTTGGAATGTTTTGGATTTTGATTTGTGTTTTGGGTCATTTACTTTTTCTAAATATGTTGAATAAATTTGATCAAAAGTTAGGCAACATGACAAGTACTTTGCGTATAATCCTTTCAAATCGCCAACCACAGGATGAAAATGATTATTAAAATCCTAATAATCAAATAATTTTATCTTTAATTTTTTAATATTTCAAGATTAGCTTTATGTGGGATACCTGTTGGATATCTATCAAAACTGTATTTCCGGGATTCTCGTTGATTGCATTTTGAATTATATGGTCGAGTTTGATTATCCCATCTTCGATGGCTTTCATTTCACGTTTCAATTCGTCAACCAGCCTCTTTTGAAACATTGTTGAATCTTTGCCAAACGCAAAATTGATCTGTTTTTGAAAAAAAAGTTTATTTTAATTAAATATTTACAATGTTCTTAAAAAGATATTTATTTCGTTGAAAATTTGATATAAAATTGAAAAACTTACTCCAAAAATTGAAACGAAAAAGAAAACTAGATATAAAGGTTTCATCTTGTTTAAAATCCAGTAAAAGAGTATCTAACTTGACTATTTCAAAATCTTCATTTATATATTTTTTTCGGTTTGCCGTGTCAATTGAATATTATCTTTGGCACAGTTTGGCACATTTTGTACATTTTTCTTTTCGAAAATTGAAGTATTATTTTACAGAATATAAACATATTTCTAATGGAATTCAAAGAACGCATTTTATTATCGAATGATCTTTACACATGTGTTTAATAATGACACAACGCCAAAAACTGGTTGTATTTATTTAAGTCAGAATACGCTTTGTTGGCTTTTGAAATCAAGCTGAACATTGCAAATATAATGAAAAACATTCACCCCAGTTGGGCTTAGTGGAACTGCTAAGAATTGATTTTTTTTTTCAAAATTAATTTTTGGCTATGTTAATACATAAAAAAACTAGTTCAGATTTGGATTTTTTGATTGAATAATTAAGGAAAATGTATGTATTTTCAATATAATAGCAAGAATACATTTACATGTGAATGAATCTGCTAAATTTCATTGATTGACTGCCTCGTCGAATATTTAAAAACTATATAAAAAATATGTTCAAACTTTTCTTTATTTCCGATATCAAATTACATCTTTTCAATTTTTAAAGAACTTTATAAATGTCTTCCAAAAATGCAAACTCATTGGGACGGTCTCTGCTTGATATATGTTTCTGAATACTTTTGTCCAATTCTTTGGCCACTTTTTTCACCGAGTTCCAAGTTTTAATGTTTCCTTTAACAGTGTTGGACTTTATCGCTTCGTCCATTATCACCATGAATACGGCATTTGGATCGGCGAGGCCAAGAAGCTTTTTTTTCACCGTAATTGTGAACGGAGTAACCATGAAGTTAGTTCGAAATTTTCCTTCCCATTGTTTGGCCAAATTATTGAATTTTTTTAGTTTTTCTTTATCATTGGTGTCAGTTACTTGTTTCAAGTACTGTGCATAGATTGGATCAAAAACATTGCAATACATAAGATATATGCGATGCAATTCTTTCAGATGTGTCACCACCGGATGAAAATTATTCTTAAAGTCCTAATAATCAAATAATTTTATCTTTAATTTTTTAATATTTCAAGATTAGCTTTATGTGAGATACCAGTTGCATTGCAATTAGATTTTTATTCCCAGGGTTTTCGTCGATTGCGGTTTGAAGAGCTGTGTCAAGTGTAGTTTTTACGTTGTCGATGGCTTCAAATTCATCATCCAAGTTTTTGCGAAACATGGTTTTTTCATCACCATCGCCAAACACCAAATGAACCTGCGAAAGAAAAAGCATATGATATATGAAGTTATCCATTTGAAAAGATTCTGGTTGCGAATAAAATATCATTTCGAATACAACTTTTACTTACGCCATTTGTTAAAGCTACAATAAAAAAGATGACTTTATTTAATTGTTTCATTTTCCACAAATTATAGAAATTCACTGTTTGATCTTAGTGAAGTGATCTATATTTATACGATTGACTTGGTGTGCAAAAAGTTGTTATGACATTTGAAAAATTGTAAATGACGAAAATATTCCGAAATATTCACTTAATTACAAACAAAATTCAAATTGTTCTTGAATTGAAAAACACGTGTAATCTTCATAGAAATATAACTAGGTCAACAAAACAGTAAATACTATAGAATATTTTGCTACTTAGGTCAATTGGCATGGACCTATGCTTTGAAAATGAATCAGTTTTGAAAAGATTGATCGTTTCTTTTTGATCCTTTTTTATAGTTGAAACAGTTTGAAATTGTACAAATTGAAAAATGAATCCTCATGTTTTAAAGAAAAATGCATTAATATTGCTTGAGAAGAATAACAAATAATTTAATTGTGAAAATATGCCTGTATTTGAAAGAATTACAAAATATTTGTAAATGTTCAATTCCTACAGAGTTCGAAGTAAGAATAACAGCTGACGTTGATGATTCGATTCGATAAATATTTTTTGAGGTAGCATGGAAAAAACCGAGTATGAAATTTCAATATTTTATTGATCTTTATTAAAGAAGGCCGTTGAACTTTTTGCATTATATTTCATTTTTTGAACAAAAACATAAATTACATTTTGACAATATTCTTCCATTTATATGCGAAGAGCCTTTTTCAGATCACTTATGAATCCATTGGTCTCTGGACATTTTGCATCTGCTATTCTTTTTACAATTAAAGCGTAAGTTTCAATCGCCACGCTCTTTACACCTTTCCAGGTGATCAAATTTTCCTCAACACTTCTCCCCGCTCTGACACCATCCAGTATTGCAAAGAATACACTAGTATTTTTATTTGCAAGTTGGTTCAGATTCTTCTTTACATCCGTTATGGACACATTAATCTTGAATGCCATCAGAACTTTTCCTTCCCATTGATTGGCCACAGCGGTGAAATTAGATTTTTTCTTCTTGTCCTTCATCGAAGTCACAATATTTAAATATTCAGAGTATACAGGGTTGAACTTTTCACAACATTCAAGATATTTTTCATGTAGCTCTTCCAGATCTTCCGCCACTGGATAAAAACATGTATTCAGATCCTCTTGTACAGCATTCAAAATTGAACTACCAAATTCATTTCCGACGATTTCATTTATTGTATTCCTTAGATGCCTATTTAGATTGTCTAAAGCTTGATCAATGGCTTCTAACTCAGCGCCCAAGTTCTTTCGAAACATTGATTTCTCACAATTCACCAAGTCTATCTATTTTCGGAGAAATGCAGTAAAATTATAACAAATCAAAGTCTTTTATATATTTCGAATGTTGGCAACTTACACCGCTTGTAAAAATGATAATCAAAAGGAAATGTGGAACGAATTGTTGCATTTTATTGTAGATTTTATTACAAACTTATTTAACTGCGTGCAAACCTATTTATCTGTACAGTAAGTGGAAACACTAGTGCGATAGAGCTCTATTTAAATGATACAAAATTGAAAGCCAAATGAAGATGAGTGTGAACACAACCGTGTGTATAATGTGAGTTATTTCCAAGATTATTTCTTTATAAAAGTGCGTATTTGATCCATCAGGTTGAGTTCTTTTATTTATTTATTTTTTCGTTTAATTTTTAAAATTGTTGGTATCCAAAACGAATAACACACGTCATTTTCCAGACAATATTTTTTGAAGCCACTGAATATTTCTTAAAAATGTTTTCTGAACATTCTTCAAATTTTGGCAATAATAATTCTTTTACGTATTACTTCGAGGGAGAGAAAAAACAAGTTCAGCCGAATTGAAATATTATTTTTTAACACGCTGATCAAACATTGTTCTACATTTTACACCGGCGAAGTCCATGCAAATTAATGTCTGACGTACTTAAAAACAAAAATCTAATTGAAAAAAGAGCGGCTGTTCAATGCAAAGAAGTAACAAACTGAAACGCATTGAATCGAAACGATGAATTTAATTTGACAAAAAACATATTTAACTTTTGTGTAACATAATTCTGGTTTATCTGAATGGAAATTTCACCTCAAATCCCCTTAGGACCAATTTTTTTTTTGTTTCGTCTCTTCACCTCCACATCGTTTCCTATCTCATTGGCTGTTTCCTATCTCATTGTATATGCATTACCCTATCATGGTATGCGATAATGCTAATACGGATTAAACCGTACCACACCGTACTCACCACCCAGCGGTGTGCCAACCAACGGTGTGATTTTTCGTTCTCTGTTAAAACTGAAGTGGAATTACACCGGCATATAACGAATCTGGCACTGGCATTGCAAAACAAAGCCATCAACGGCAGCAGCAGAAGCAGCAACAGCTAAATAAAATTAATCACTAAATAAGTATCTATATCATTTACATGCAGATCGGATGGTTGTACATTGGTTGCTGTGTCTGTTCGTCGCACCAAATGCAAAACTTGTCTATGTATGTGATAATAATATTGTGAATAAATACGAAAAATGGGGTTTGAGATTTTGAAAATGGTGAATTTTGTGAGAATGTCTGTGTATTTGTCGAGCTGATATGCTCGATGCAGTTGATGTGAGTGTTTTTTAAAATAAAGAAGAAAAAACCCCAGGCCCCATTTGATAATGCCGGGTGTTAATGCAACACAAATAATAATCTTTTTGCAAACAGAGCGAGCACATCACACGGTATCGTAGTCGCTTCAGTAAATATAAAATGTCTCTCTCTCTCTCTTTTAATTTTTTCTCGCTCATTCTCACTTCTAAACTAATACGTAGAAAAAAGCAAATGAAATTGTTACTTGTCAGTCTCTATATATCAGTGGCGGATTAAACATACGGTTTTTCAAGTTGAACGCTGTTTGCACATGGTCTCGATGGTGCTGATACATCGATATTTTCTCTCGTACTTCAACACGTATTTTGTTCAAACATCCAGTTCAACTTCCTTCGGGGAGATGGATTGTAATTCGCAAAATGCAGTCAAAACACAAAGAAGAAGAAGCAGCAGCAGAGGAAAAATGTGCTTCGATTTCTGTGCATCTTTCTCTATCTTTGTCAGGCGTATGTGTAATTTCGATAATACAGCCGTTTTATTGCAACACGAACGAATTTTAAGCACATTGACTTTGAATATTTAAGCCCGACTTTGTGCACACAAGCGATATACCAATATAGAATCATCTAACATTTTACATCAGATTATTATTTACCCCATTGGTATCAGGCTCGGAAATGTTCAGGAGATTAAATGCTTTTTCCCTTTTGCCAACTTGTATTGTTTTAACTTTTCTGGAATTAAATTTAAATCACCGCATTCATATCGCCCGCCCTTACCAAGAGCGATCGAGAGTGTCTTAAATCGAACAACGTGTTGACAGAAATAATGATGCCCTGATATTGATCTTGATTTCTCTCATAGAAACGTAATTTTTGTTCATCTTTGCAGCAATTCAAGAGAAAACCGAGAATGTTTCGCTTCGAAAATGTTTAAAATGAAAAGCAAATGCTCAAATGTAAAAATGGCATCTGCGAATAATTTATATGTTAACTGTTTGACGTAACGAAAATGAATTTGACACAATTTCATGAATGTGATTTACCGCCAGGATGAAAAAAAAATTAATAGATTCATAAAAAACAAACCCTCGGCACCCATAACAATTTTATTATTATTATCTCAATGAATTTCTTTTTATTTTCGGTGAACGTTGATTTGATTTCCCCGTTTTCATTACATTTGCCAGTTGCGTATGTGCGGCAGCACAGCATGTTTTTTCGTTCTGTTTGAATCAATCGTTCGCAAGACTGGATTCATTGGCCTGACAGAGAGAAAAACACACCCCATGCATTCGACTATACACGAATCGCATACTAAGTGCCATTTCGGCCGTGATTTCGTTGTAATTCAACTTTAGTTGATAGGCAATATGTTCGTTACGAACTTTAACTCGATTTATATATACTATCTTGGGCCGATTTGGTTCGGGTTTTTCGAGTGTACATTTGTTGATACAACTGATTACTGAGACGCGAACGCGCGTTTTCCACCCTCATTGTATTGCACTCGACCATTTCGAATTCGGATCGACGACGACGACATGCGCAAAAAAAGAGACGAAGAAATGTATTCCATTTTCGGATTGGAGTGTTGAAAAGCTGAAATTGTTGGTTTTAGCAAGTTAATGCGTATTTGATATGCGAATATTGTAATAATATGTCTTTCAATACACACATCATTATGCAACTTCAGTGATTTTTGGATAGATTTGGTAAGCCGGAGGGTGGATTTTACGATGCGTCGACATTTTGAAGGGAGCGCAAATGTTGAAGTTTTTGAAACAATAAACACATTTTCAGTCATTGCCTTTAAGAATTCAGACACATTTAACGATTGTTCGATGTACTGCATCGAATCAAATTTATGCATTACACACACTCAACAACCGAACAAACCATTTTCAATGTGACGCAACGAATTTTACGGACCCACAACCAAATGTAACTAACAAAAATATTTATGATCTTATGGTTTCTGCTTAATATTTATTGCAATTCACAGCACGGTCCACACAGACGATGTGAACACACATGAACTGTGGCACGCCGGAGGAGCAAATAAATTAGATGTAATCATCAATGCCTAATTATATAATAAAGAGTAATTTTATGTTTGAAATGTTACTAGTTGGTCTATTGTTTTCGGAATCGTATTTTCTTATTTACTTTTTACCAGATTGGCCGATATTTTCGGCTCGTAAATGTCTATGCAGAAAATTAGAAGCTATTCATTTATTTGCTGACCTTGCAGTGCGTTGGGTTATATTTAGAGAGGCTAGAAAGAATGGTATTGGATCGAGATCAATCAAAATTGAATGCGTGAATTGATATTTTTGTGAAGCATATGTTAGTGTGTGTTTCTATTGAAAAGTGCGGAAGTTTAGTATTACACGTCGAGAAAATAGAATTAAATGTAAAATTGAATTGATTTTTTATTTGTTTTGCCCAAAAAGTCTTTGGCAAAGACTGTCTCTCTGAGCAATTAATGTGATAATTTTCAACTTTGAGGAGCGCCGCTCCTCCTCTCATAAAAAGTAGAGAAAAAATTTTGTTCTTGAAGAAAAAATCTCCAATTTTGCCGCGAAGTTTTTTAATCTGACGTTCCAAAAGCACCGATCTGCGACGATTTTTTTTACAAATTAGTTTCCTTCGTCTAACAAATATAACTAAGGTTTATATGATTTATGATGCGTTAACACCTGAAATAAAAACGATAATCCAAAACTTTTCGTCGCAATCGAAATCTTTGGGTCGGAACAAAAAATACGGAAAATTTGTCTGGCACGAAGAGTCTCAGTGTGGAGCCAAAAGATTGTTGAGCTATCTGAAATGTACACGATAAATAAAATTTCAAGCTAATCTCACCTCGATTGCTTTCACTTCCGATGTTTCCCGCTGTTTGCACATTTCAACCACATTTTCTTGCCAGGAATAAGATGATTTATACATAAGCCAGGTATTTTGTTGAATATTGCTCCAAAAATGTTCGAAGAATCTTACAAATTGATATTTGGAAATAAAATGTTGCAAATGACAAATTGAAACTGGCAAAAATGTTCATATTAAAAACTTTAGTGGCCAATTTTTTTTAATCAAATCCAAAAATTTGGAAATTGGAAACTATTTTTTATATTTAAAAGAGGTAAAAAAAAAATTCTCATTCGAATATTGAATGGAAAGAAATGTTAAAAAAATATGATTAAATGTAAATCACAAAAGAAAAATCTTCAAACATCTCTTTAGCTGCCTACATTTTGAAATTATATTAATATGCCAAAATCACGTGTGAGTTAAGTTCAATCAGAACCTTTTTAGTTGTCAATGGTACTTGACGAAAAAAACGAAGTGAATAATACAATGAATTAATCCATAAACGTAGACATGATTTTTTTTTGCTTTTGAGTTTCGTAAAAAGGGTCTTCTTTATTCCAGCGCATATGTTCAATGAATTGATTTGCACATTCGATAAAATTGATAATGTGATAACAAAATTGAATGCTCGAATAAGGGAATTAACGAAATGTGCATATTTATTGTGAAAAGGTGAATTATCTCCGTAAATATCTTCGCACCCGGCAAATTTGAAACTTACAAATTTCTTCACTAAAAAATTTTTAATTCAAAATGAACAAAAAAAGGCAGCAGATAGAAAAGCGTCGCCAGCGATTCTCATTCTATCTAAAGACGCCATTAATTCTGTTCACGTAATCAATTGACTGGTGGAATAAAAGGCACTACATTATGGTTCATATGTGTAACATCCATTTTGCGCAAAGTAGTTAGAAAAGAGAAAAACACAGAGAGTCTCTCTTTTCTCAAGTGTGTGAGCATGTTACTTTTCAGTTCGGCGTGTGTTTTTGAGGGTAATAATCATCTTTGGTCCACACACACACACATACCCAGCGCTGAAATTGTAGTTTGATAAAATATTTGCCAAACATGATGGCTTTTAACAGCATCTTCCTCTCAAATGCTTCAGACATTTTCGATTTGC